GGTGGGTCTGTTTCCCTCAGCCTGGGGACATTTCAGAGTCTGTGTTAGGCCCAGTTTTACAACAGCTTATCCCTGGGCAGTCCCCTGGCCTCGATGCCCAGGCTGCCGGTACATGGAAACTCTTCTGCAGGTGCCAGCTGAGCAGGTCTACACTGAGCACACAAGGAATAACGAGCCTTTTTGACCTTGAAACTTAAGCTAAATCCGAGCCTAAAAGTATCTGAATAAACCCTTGTCTGCAGTTTAAAATGCTCTTAAAGAGGCCAGTGATATTCTTAATACTTTCTTCCTGCAAATATAAAAATTCACCCTTTCCCCTTAAAAATACATCCGAGAATCCTGGGCGTGAAGTTGCCCTGATTAGGAAAATGTTTGGGATTTTATTTTTCAGCAATTTTTCCAATGTAAATGTTGGATTTATAGTCTCCTGTCAGACATTGTGTAAAGGGAATAATAATCACCTACTAACATTTTTTTTTTTTTTGCTTTACAGTTTAACATAAATCTTTATGAGAGTTTGCAAATAGCGAAATAACCTTTGGCGTGAGGCACATAAGAGGTGATGTAAAACCCTCCCGCAGCCGAGGGGAGCGGCACTCGGGCTCGGCAGACACTCAGAAAGGCTCTTCAGGTTCCCTTGGCTCTCTCTTCGCAGAGATCGGTCATCCATCACTTCATTGAAATTCCCTTTTCTCTTTACAAACTTGCTGCCGGTTCATCCCGATACTCAGTGGGAGGAAGAACAGCTGGTATGTCACGAGCCGGGGCAGAGTCCTGCGAGGCGGAGGTAAGGCCGGATTAAATTGTCCCTTAGCATGAGAACCGTCAGGTAAATGCTGTTGCAGCTGCCTACCCGTAATAGATCGTGTTATATGCAAGTTATGTAAAAGCTTTGCTTATTTATCAGCCCTAGATTTGTGTCAGAATATACATATATAAACGCCACAGTGGTCTGTTAATTTGTTGTAGTTCAGCACTCCTGTACCTATATACACAATAAAAAAAGCTTTTCAGCCTTGTTTGATGACTTAGCAACAGCTTTGGGAATTCTGGCAATAAACGCTTGCTCAGATTCCCAGTGTCGTAGCTAATTTGAATAAAAGTTAATATGTTTATTACAGGAAATAACGAACTTTTTTTTTTTTTTTTTTTAATAATTTCATTCTTTACCAGCAGATTTTCATTGGCGTTGCAAATTATTTTATGAATTTTCTCAAAATGTTTATAACCTGTTCAGTAAGAACGACTTCCGTGATTAGGGTAACGTCGAATCAACTCCGAAGGAGAAGCGTGGTGATTTCCTTCGGAGGAGTAAGTACACCAGTGTGGATTTCCACGGAAGCGGGTTTGCAAAACTGTTTTACGCCGAAGTTAAGCAACTTTGTAAACTGCCCAGCAGTGAAAAGTTGTTGCTGACAGCTCTGAGAGCTGGATGAGCCTTCGCTGGCATTTGGGGTTGTGTTAGGTTTGTTCTCACCTGGCAATTATGCAGAGAGAAGTGCTCATCACCAGCCTATTGACACATCACTTGACCCTCCAACTGTGATTTTTAGACCATGCCAAGCAGTAGAGTTCTTGTTGGCTAGCAAATAAATTGTAGAAATTTTTTTTTTTGCTGATTTCTTTGGAGTTAGTATAAAAAAAAAAAAAAAAAAAAAAAAAAAAAGATTAATCCCTATGTGCTTAACTTACAGAAAACCTCTTTAAAATGCTGCTAAGCATTTCAATAGCTCCTAAAATGCTGAGGAATATTCTTTCACGGTACTTCAGATGTACTCTATGGTTTGCCTTCCATGATGTATTGATCTTGAGAAACAAAGGAGCCAAGAGGATGCAATCCTCGCTCGACTGTGGGGTCCCACTCGTCTGAAGCAATGCTGAGAGACCTCTGCCCGTTGGGTAATGGTTGGATTAATTCGGATTCACCCGGACTGGCTTCCCAGCTCTTAACTTGGCTCTTTCCTTACTCCTGTTTGAATCAAAAGGCAAGTGAAGCTGCCGGCGGGGCCGAGGCACAGCCACGGATCTGTGCGTTTAACGGTGATATCGTTCTGTTCTTCCAGATGAGAGAAACATGAGAAGGAAACCTTCTCTCTGTTGTTCTTCGCTCTTGGGCGGCTTTTCTCCAAGCTAGGAGGTGTTTCTGAACTCTTACTCACCCTTTCCAAGGTGGGTGGGAGCTGGAGGCCAACCCCGGGAGCTCTGCGGAGGGCCAGGCAATGGGGATTTTGAAAGGCTTTTTCTTCTCGGCACCGCTGGAGCGGCTGAGAACTCTTTCCATGGAAAGTTTAGGCTGTGGCAAAACACAAACACCGAACAATTTAAATTCTCAACTTGAGGCTCGTGGGCACAACAAAGAGAAAACCCAGAAGATATAGGCAAGGAGGGGAAAGCGCTTAGTAGTAAGGATCATAGGATTCAGATTTGCTTGTGGGGTGGCTGGGAGGTTGTGAGAGACTGAAATGTCAAGTGATGGTCCCAGAGCTGGTTTGTGTCTGTGCAGACCTCGGGGACGAGCTCTGCGGCCGTGGCTGGTCCGGGGGGTGTCCCCCAGGGCAGCAGGAGGCTGTTGAAGGATGCACCCCCCCGCTGCTTTGCAGTTCACTGTCAGACTCCTTAGAAAAGCCTCAGAGGGGCAGCGGGGGCTGAGCCGGCCCCATCCTGTAGCCGTCTGTGGCTCTGCGGTGTCCCCAGCCCCCGGGCACACGTGGCTAATGCGCTGATGAGAGGCCTTTCTGCCCCAGAAGCTGATGCAGCAACAAACCTGTGGGACCAGAGAAAAAATAACCCTAAAGGTGGGCAGATGTGCTCATCAGCGGATGCGAGGAACTTAAAAAGGCAGCGGGAAACTTTGCTGAGAAGTGGGGCAGTGCCAAAAGTCTTCCTGAGGCCAAAGCAGGGAGACCTGCTGTCTCCTTCCCATCTACCAGAGCTTTTGTCTTGTCACAGGAGAAAACTTGGCTGATTTGATGGGATTTATTGATGACAAACCCATTTGAGTTGTCTCTCATTTCCAGGTTGGGGGGTTGGTGCTCGCAAAGCGTTCTTCCAGCATTTGGGAAGGCGCTGGAGTTAAACGGACTCCCCTGAAGACTAAAAAAGCGAGACTTGCATGTTATTAAATAGACTTAAAACGCAACCTTGCACGCAATGTCGGATTTCAGGCGTCCCTCTGCTGCAATGACCACCCATGAACAGGACGTAGGCCACCCCACGGCAGGGCTGAGAGGAAGGGGGTGCGTGCTCGGTGCACACACACGTGTATTTGGGACCGTGACTTTCCTCACATCGTGGGTATTTCTCCCAACAGCCCATGTGAAATGCAAATCCCAGCAGCAAACACAAGATGGAGGAGGAGGAGTACGGTGCAAAAGTGGTAAAATCCCAGGAAAGAAGATTTAGAGTGAAAGGGATGTGCCCGTGTGTAATGGGGCGAAAACCAGGGAGGTTTAGGCAAAAGCTGAACTTTTTCAGAACGGAGCTTGTGGAGAAGTCACCGGAGACCTGTGTTTAAAACTGAAAATAAGAGGGAAAAATACTCCAAGAAGACATCCACCGTGGGTGCTGAGGCCGCAGGCTGCCCTGGGGACACTGCCCTTGGCTGCTCACGTCCCTGCTGCCCTCGCGGTAGCTCTCGTGTGGCGGCAGCAGGAAGGGGCTGCTTCGTCATCAAACTGGTTCGACGGGTGAAAAATGTTTATTGCCACGGAGCTTCTCTTCTGTGTCTTACTTTCTGCTTAATTAAAACACCAATAATCCTTATGAGATAAGTTACTACAGCACTAGAATGCTCTACTCCTATCTGTTTAAAGTGTATGATTTGCACTGACTATTTATTTATTTATTTATTTTTTAAAAAAGCCAGGACGTTGTTGTGCTGCATTGTAGAATAACACGTTTAACAAAGAAACTCCCATCCTTGCGAGATAGATTTTGTGTTCTTCTTCCCCTATATTTCCTACCCACACTGCACATGCTTGGCGTTGGCTCTGACTCTGCTCCAAACATCAGATGCAGACATTTAAAATTCACAAAGCCACACAGGATTCACACTTGCCTGTGAGTAGCTGGTTGTTATTAAAAGTGTGTTCATGGTGAAACATTCCTCTGGTGTTTTAAAGCTGCCAGAAGCCATTTCTGCCTGCTATTGTGCAATAGTGATAATATTGGGAACGACGTTATGATGTCTGCGGCCTTAAAGGCGCCGCAGTCTGTCTGTCTTTGCGCTCATGCTTTGATTTTATTCAAATATATTTGTAAGAAATACTTAGTGGCTGCCGTTAGTCATCTATCTCAGATGTCATGTTGAAAGGCAAGAGCTTCCACCCGCAGGATACTTGGGGGGTGGAAATAAAGTCTCATAGTGAAGGGGGAATTGGGGAGAGTAAAGAAGCAAGGGAACACCTGAGGCAAAGCCCTGTGTATAGGTAATTAGATTAACTTTAAGGCCCTGCTTAATTTTAGAGCTGTTCTCAACCTGGGGAAGGAGCAAAACTGGGAGAAACAAAAATAAATAGGCAGGTATAACTGAGAGCACTACTTGGTCTAATTACCATAAGACATATTTCCTGTTGGAAAATAACATAATAAATGGTGTATTGAACTCAAACCCTCTTCTGTGGTAGTTATTAAATTCCATGACATTTCAGCTTGATTAACTTTTTAACAGATATGACTCAGGGCCATTACAGGAAACCTTCTGAGGTGGATGCGAGATCTGATGACCTACCCCACCAACAGTCCCAATTATTCAAACTGAAGAAAATGTCTTATAAAACCTCATTAGCAGAAAGGAAACCTATAAAGCTATTGCCTGATTGTTTGTTTTTTTTTTTTGATTTAATGTTGGCTGAGATGAAGGGATAAGATGTGGAAGAAAGCATCCTCCTGCCCTGGCGGGTAGAGGGAGAGCAACGAGAGGCTTCCTGAGCTCCAGCTCTAACTCTGCCTTGATGCTGATGTTTTGCAGGAGTTCATTATGACTTTTGTATAGGGTATTTATTTATAGGGAGTTATTCCGTTCTTGAGAGTACCCCAGCACCAAGCAGACCCCCTCGGGGGAGTTGTCAAGCTCACAGCACAAGGGCAGGAAGAAATGCATACGCAACTCTTAATATTTCCCACCTTGATATTGGAAATATTCTGTATATTTTGAGTGAAACGAGGGGAAAGCCATGCTCATCTCAGCATTTCCCACTCTGATTTCTGATGGCACTTGCCTATACTTGCTAGGTTACAGAGCAGCAAGATAAAAATGTTTAATTCTTCCTATAAAAGGAAAAACATGGTAATATTTTATGGGTTTATTTCAGGGGTTTTTTTTGGTCTAAACTTGCTGCACAACCCCCCTTGGTGTAACAGCTGTAAATAACTGCTGTTGAGGTGATGTTTCCTGACTCTGTCACGTTCAGCTATTGCAGGTCTGGGGCTTGATCCTGCTGGTGCCAGGCTCACCACCACGTTCTCCGTATCCGCCCAGGTGTGGTGCTGTGGGCTTCCAAAGATTTACCCACTTACAAAGCTTCACGGAAACAAAAGAAGAAAATGTGGCTATAACCTGAGGGCCTTTGTTGGAAAACAATTACAAACCATGGTATTTCTATCAAATATTTGGGGGATGTATATGCAATTTCCTTTGGGTGGGATGTTGTTCCTTGATTCTTTAGGAGCTTTTTGTGCCGGGGATCACAGATATATCCAGCTACTTCTAATGTTGTTGGTGTCTTCACCACACAGCACATAGGGAAAAGTAAAATAATCCAGGTAAAAAAAAAAAAAAAAGTTAATATTTGAAAAATGTTTACAAAATACCAAGCCCTAGTGTGAAACAAACCCAAAGAACTAGAGCTCCAAACCAAAAGGAAATTGGCTGAGTTAATGGGTGGTGGTCAGGGGGATGGTGAAATTAATTTCAAGTTGCTCTGTGCTCCAAACTACCAAAAGTGAATATAATGAAGGATTCACAGAATTTGCTTTTGTCTTTCTGTAAAGAAAAAAAAAAAAAAAAGCTGCTTAAATCAGTAGTGTGCTTGTTATGCATATGAAGACGCAAAGGTTATGAAAATATGGCACAATCTCCTCAATTCTGTGATTTAATTAAGATACGCCTCTGAGGAAAAGGAGCAAAAGGGATGCTCACTGTAACTGCAATTGATAAACTCGCCTTCCGTTTCTTGAAGGTGCGAAGCACCAGCGGTAATAAATGACTATTTAATAGCATAAACCGTCAGGAGAGGAGCCGCTGAAATCTGTGTGGAGGAAAAAGAGATAATGCCAATTTTCCCGAATCTGTGAGAATATTAGTTGAACAGCGTTAACTGGAAGACCCCAATGCTTTACAAAGACACACGGGCTGAGATCTCCAGAGGTTTCTGACTGATCTCAAAGCGTCAATAGAGGAATTTTTCTGCCAGCACTTTTTCCTCTAAGTTCCTCTTGAGCAGTGGAAGTGTGTCCCAGCAGCCCTATCGCTGTTATCTGCAGAAATATAAAAAGATACATCGCCATGCTCCAAGCCAGATCCTCAGGGAACACAGTAACCCCCAGTCTGTCACTGGCCTTTCTTGCCATCAGAGTCCTTTTCCCAATTTGATTAATACTAGGTTTTTAATCGAAAAAAAAGTATGTGGCAAGGCAAGTCCTCAGCTGTTCTGACTCCTTTCTCAGCTGAGACTTGTTAAATTTTGTACGATGCTCCAAATCTTTCCTTAACCGCTTAGTAATCTTTTGCTGCCATTATAAAGGGATACAGGTGTAATTTTTTTTTTTTTTTCAATGAAGGTAAAGAAATTAATCATTTCCCATTTAAAATAATAAAATGTTCATATTAGTTCCTGCTGGAGCACACCTTTGAGCTCGCATTCTAGAACGCAGCCTCAGAGAGCCTGAGGCTTTGCCATCGGAAGAAGAAGTGTTGGGTCTCGTTGCGGGGGGTGAGCCCTCAGCTGAACTTCAGGCTCAGCCTTACCCACCAATTCCCTACGTGATATGGAAATCGTACACAGTTCAGAACCTCCCTGAGCCTTCTCTGGGCCATCCTTGTTAGCCAGGGAGCAGAGGCGCGCACACAGGGTTTGTTAGTGTTTGCTTTCTCTTCTAGCAACAATTTCTTTTTTTACAGTTAAAACGATCATTTCCCACTATCAATACCTTATTGCCAGTCTGAACCGCTGAGAGATAATCTACCAATAATGCACTAATTAGTCTTACTGCTGCAGTATCTCAGATAGAGGCTGAAGAGCCAGAAGATAATTAGTGTTTAACCAATTAAGCTTGTTGCAAGTTCATGAAACACAGCCCTTACATTTTTTTCCCTGTCAGATTCGGCGTGTTTTTTTTTTTTTTTTTTTTTTTTTTATTTTAACATCAGCTATGAGATTTCACCTTTCCCTCCCAGCTGTCTTCCAAGCTCCCTCCAGTTTCTCATTAGACAACATTATATTATAGTTGTTAGATTATGGATCTGACCTCAGGTAACCCCACAGTATTTCTTTCCACATATCCTTAATGTAAAAACATAGAAATATTAGTCTGTGAACTATGATGAAGTTCAATGTGGTTTCTCTTCCCTTTTTTCTTGCAGACTGTGGCCGTGTCCCAGCTGAGCACTTCCCGGAGTTGCCGTGGCACCTTGGGTTGGGTCCCCCAGGACAGAACTGAGAGGTGCTCACCTTTCTGGGAGAAGAAAATGATTAACAAATGATTCGTGAGTGTCTGAGGGGGGAAAAGACCCTTCTTGGCCGGACACTCCCACCTGTGCTTCTGAATGCAGAGCGCTCGTATGACGAGAAATCTGAGATAGGTTAATGTTCGTGTTGATTACTCATTGACTTACTAATTGCTACTGATTTTTTGTACACCACTTGCGTAGCCTTCACGTGCACATTAATATTCTTGTCTAGTGATCATTTGTTGTGACTGACACGGGGACTAACTGTCAGGGCTGCCGGGATGACCCATTTTTAGTGTGAAATGACGATTCAGACAACACTGCGGGGGGACCTCGGGTTTCTTTCACCTCTTTCAGCTGAACCCCTCACATGGGTGAAACCGGGGCAGAGGGTTCTTCTGGTGGTGGGTGAGGGTCAGCTTCAGCATCAGCCTCAACATCATCATCATCAGCTGTGCAGGGAGTGCTTTCCGATGGCACCCGTGTTGAGGGACGTGTCACACCTCACTGTATGCATTAAAAAGTTCGATTTGATGGTCAGGTGTGGTCCTCTGAGAAGAATTCTTTGAATGTTGGCTTCTCGTGTATGAAGCTTTTCTTCCCAAATACCACAACTCATGACTGTGGTTATCTTCATTTGGGATTATCCCTTGGAGCTGTTGGTTTGCAAATCCCGACGGATGTGCTGACTTGGTAGCAGCACTTTAAAGCCAGTTGGAAAGGAGAGGTGGTCGTCCTGTGACTGGTGTGGCATCAGCCAGGCCTGAGGTACTCAGAGACAACACCTGGGAGCTGAGGGAGCAACCCGGGGAGTGCCTGGATCAGCAGCGATGGGTGGATCTCGGAGCTGGAGGGTCCACAGCAACTGTGCTTATGAATGAGCCTTGGGAAAAACGCAATGGCTGCGTATATGAAAACCTAAAACCTGCATAAAAACGTTAGCTCAGAAAAAAAAACGAGCGATGAGGAATTACGGGGAAATTCACAGCCAGCTCAATCTGCTCGATCTACGGTTGTACATCTGGAAATGTCCCACCTGAAGGCCTGCGCAAGGAAGCCCGAGGTACGAGCTTTTTCTGTCTGTGTTGGTTAGTCGCCTTGTTGCTGCAGAAACTCCGCTGGTTTATCACTCATGAGAGCAAACCCCTCTTTCATCTGCTCTTCCACTTGCTGTAAACTCCTTTTCTGCATGCGAGCTGAGGGAAGAATACCAAGAGACAGCCTTAATTAAGATATGCTGGAGCAAAGCTAATTTTCAGGGTTTTTTTGGAATGTGGTTGGTTTTTTGTTTTTTGTTTTTTGTTTTTTGTTTTTTTTTCCAGACGCTGACAGGAACATGTCACAACTATTTTACAGTCAGGATAATTGACTTCTATTTAATGTGGTAGTTGCTTACAAACAGCCAGTCAGACATATCCATGCAAGCAGCGAAGAAATTGTTCAGAAACATTATTGCTAATTCTTGAAATAAGGAACACTGAGTATATCGCTTGCAGTGCTATCACTTTGGCTAAGAGGGGAGCAGGTGATGAATTCACTGTGTTTTCTCTCAGTACAATGAACAAGCTGTAAATGACTCAGAAATTTGAAGAAACAAAGCACTCGCTGTATTTTTCTATTTCTTCAAGCCTGCTGTTATGTTTATATTTTATTCTTTTTTTATGTGGGGAGTTTATTCCTCTGTATTTCTTACTTGTTTGTGGCAGTTTTGCTGAGCTTGCCCTCTGCTGTGCCCAGAGGAGCTGTGGCCAGGGCAGAGCAGGATTCTCTCACCTTGAACGTAACATTGCAGGGAAAATAACAAAAACTTGTTTTACACTTCAGAGAACAATTTAAATACGTTGGCAGCGGAGATCATCTAATAGCAGTATTTCACATTAGGGATTTTTAGCCTTTCTTCAACCAGATTTTATATATTTAAATATAGTTTAGCAATCGCACTTTTTCTTTAACTTGTATTTATTTTGGACTATTTCATGGGCAATGCTCACGGCATAGAGAGGCTGTCAGACGCGTTCACAGCTTCTCAGGGTGATCACAGTGGGGATAAAAGCATGCTGAGGAGAGAAGATGGAAAATATATAGCATATATATGGATTTTTCCTGGTCCTGACAGGGCTCTTATTGTTATTTTATTTGTATGAATCTCGTAGGCGCTGGAGGAGCTGATCCTCTCACCAAGGTGGACTAGTTAGCAATTTAGGAGGAAATGTGCTCCTATCACGAGGGATAAATGTGGTAATTCTTTCTGAGAGCTTGAAATTACCGGGGAATGATGAGCAACTGTAATTCCCTGGAAATTAAACATGTCTATTGAGCGAGATGTGTGCCGTGCCAGCCGAGGTGGAGGCCGGGTTGTCCTGGCAGGGGTGGAAACTCCCTGCTCCTGCCTTGCCCTGCTCCAGCCCTGCTCCCGGGTACCCTACGAGGGGGGTGATGGAGAGCTGCATCTGTCAGATGAGGCTTCTGCAGATGATATGCTGGTGCCACGGGTGCCAGAGGACTTTTGTCACCAGAAAGAGGCAGATATAGAGGGCTTTTAATGTCACGCTCTTTTGCTCTACTCTTTAACTCACTATTTTCTCATTTAAAAAGAAGCTAAGATTTTGCTTCAGGTGCCACACTGTGAAATCCTAAATAACCACAAAAACTCTGGAATCCATTTGTACTCAACTCTGCGCGCTGTTCATTTCAACTTTTTCGATGAGACCCTTGCTCAGCCTTCAGCTGTCTGATGTCAACAAAGGGCTGGCACCTTAAGCCCTTTTTTTATTTTTATTTTTTTATTTTTTTTTTAATTTTGAAGCAGAAGTGCAGGGCAATACGTCTTCTTTATCACCTTAACCACCAGGAGTTCCAGACTGAAACAGTCCCTTCATTAATTTTGATACTTTTTTCTTTTTTCTTTTTTTTTT